ACAAGGCACTCTAACCAGTGGGTGTGATTCCTGGTCAAGCCTTATTGTTTTCTAAGTTTTTTTCTTTTGCGTAACTTGGTAATTTAACTGCGGATATGATAGATTCAGTATCTTTCATTTAATGATTTATCCACATTTAAATGTTTCAGATGCAATGTCTGTGATAGGATTTCACTTTATCATGCTGATGTAGGTAAGTAAGGGCCTGTTTACATGGAGGTGAGGGCCCCAGGTAGGTGAGGTAACTTGCTTAGGTGGAGTAACCCACCTGTCCATATAATCTCTTGTTTTAATTTGATCACGTTTACATGATAGGTGGGGTGACCATATGAGAGATTATATGGACAGACGGGTTACCCCCACCTAAGTAGGTTACCTCACCTACACGGGGTCCCCCACCTCCATGTAAACAGGCTATAACTCGGCAGTTCCATGTTTTGTTGAATGTGTAGCTAGAAATTTTTGAAAAGTGCCCCAGGTTTGTTGCAAATTTTGCATTTAAAAGAACGCGCGAAATAGAGGTCATTTTGTACCTTAAATCTTGACTCCATTTGTAGCCTGCATAGCGAGCGATTCCGTTTGGTTTCGGAGCAAAGACAGACCGGTTTTGGCGCGAGAAATGAAACGCGCAGTCTTTGACTCTCGTTCCTCTTTCGTTGTTCTTTGCTCCTAAACCGCACGGAAACGTTTGCTACGCAGGCTACTCCATTTGTGGCTTAAATTATCCCACTATTATCCTACCGCGGAAGGATCAGCTCAGTTGGTAGAGCGCCTGACTGCAGAGCGGGATTCCCGGGGCTGGATCAATACTCAGGGTCTTGAAATAACAGAGAAATAAAGGTACTTCCTTTGCCCTGCAAGCAGCTAGACCTTCGCGTGGCTCGAAGGACCACTTAAAATAGCAGTCCCGTCTCCAGTAAGAGACGTAAAAATAGTCTTCTTAAGTAGTATATTGCTTCTAAATACATTGACACTCAAATTAAGTCGATTTTTTTTCTCTACGTAACCCTATTGTTGCTGATTGCCAAAATGTTTTTTTTAGAGTCTGTGTTGTCGATAATTGGCGCCGGAAAGTTTGATGCTGTGATAAGCAATCCGCCCTACATTCCTGCGCCTGACATGGCCTTGTTACAGCCTGAAGTTTCCAGGTAAGAAAAGTTTTCTCGATAAAAGTAGTACGCGATGACCTTTCGTTTAGATGACCGCAAAAATTGATGACTATCGTGAAAATAAAACTACGGAGCGAATGGAGACGCGGTTGGCGTTAATAAACCTATAGCCTATTCCAGGCGTTCAGATAGTAGAGAACGGCGGTGTACCCCTCCCTTAAGCCAATATTAACACTTACCTCTCACTTAGGGCAAAATGTTAGCTTAGGGGAGGGGTAAACCAGGAAGAAAAGGGTCGCGTGTCAAGGGCAGGAAATTATACTGGGAAAACGCAACCTCGTTTGCAAGGAGTCTCTTTTTGCAGTGTCTCTGACTTAGACGCGAAAATGGCGCCCAGCATTTATTTCAACTTTTATTGGTCAGTAAAATTCAATCCGGATATTTTTTGAAAACGGAGATTTTTTTCTCCGTTTTCGCCTTTCGTTCACAAGAAAATGACGTTTTTTGGTCATCAAAAACGCTGGTTTTCGAAACCGGTTCACAAAGTGTGTTTTTTTTAAACGCCCCCTTATCGTTTTTGTGTAGATGGACGAAAACGGAGGATTTCGAATACGCTGATGTCATACGCCCTGTAAAAGATGTTATCTTTTCTCCATTGTATCAGTGTTTTCGTGTGGACGGGCGAAAATGATTCGAATACGCTATGTGTACGCGTATTTTTTTTAAGGAAAACGGAGGAAAGAAAATTTTCGTTTTCAAAACTATACGGATACGTGTGAACTTTCGATCCAGCTGCATACCGTTACAGATCATAATGGCAGTGGGGCTTATCAGAACGGTTAGTAGTTTAATTGATTTTGTTTCACATGTTTTTTTGTCCTTGTTAGGTATGAAGATATGGGAGCGTTGCATGGTGGCCTTGATGGATTAGATGTAGTAAAGAGAATTTTATGCATTTCTCCTGGACTCCTAAAGCCAGATGGGTACGATATGAAAATAATGATAGCACTCTGACTTCGCAAACACGAGACATTTTGATAGGAATAGTCTACTGATGGTAAATCAGTAAGTTTGGCTTGCTTTTGAGACGCCGCTTTCTCGGAGAAGTGCAGGCCCTTTTTCCTAAAAGTTGCTGGTAATTAAGCTTATCAGTCAGTCGTCTGATGCGGGTGTGTCTTTATAATTACACGAGCAGAACTGTATTGTGTATTCCTGCAAAATGCTGATAGATAATATGCTAGTACCCGCTTTGCCTCACCTCTAAGATGTGGGAAAGAATTATGAGGAAACGTGTTCTCTGTCTTATGCGATGACTGACAAGAAACGCCCGGGAAAGCTAGAAGTGCAATATTAGAATATTGGACTAATTTTGTATTATTTATTTATTTTCAGTTCTGTTTGGTTAGAGGTGGACATTTCGCATCCCGAGCAAATAAATCAATGGATTAGTAGCCGGGATCTTGGTTTAAAATACTCCGCCACCTTTAACGACTTTACACAAAGGTAAGCAGACATAAAATTCAACCACAATATCGTGGACCGGACTTCAAGGGTATAAGATCAAAGATAGTAATTCCCGTAAGGCCCCCTCTGTAAACTGTGCAATTGAACAAACACCGGAAACTCGTTCCCAGGCTCCTCTGCTACTTGTAGAGGACCCTGGGAATATGTTTTCGCACGCGACAAAAAGCCGCCTTCACAACCAAGGCTATTTTTCGCGTATTTAGAAAATAGAGACCTTCAGATTCGAGGACGAGATTTAACTTAACGTTTTTTATTCCCGCGAATTCTCAAAAAATATTCACCACAGCGAAATCTTTATTGTTCTTTTTTCACCATAAAAGTAAGCACGCTTACTTTTACTAACGGAGGTCGCAAAATGATAAAACTTTTAACTTTGCATAACTTGTTTCCGTCACTACGACATTCTCGCTAAAACTCGTCGTGGAATGACGACGGATGACGATGGATGACGACGGCTATCACGTTTTCCCGCCAAAATGACGCTGGTTCTCGCGCATGCACTGCTTAGTATTGAGAAAATCTCGTTCTCTTACTATGTGCTGGTCTTAGAATCTGAAGGTCTCTATCATCCACCGTGGCCCTTTGAAAAAAGTGTAAAATCTCTCTCGGGACGGATTTCAGGCATACATTACCGACTGCATCATTTCTTAGGGGTCCCATGTCAAAATCGAAAAGGCTGATGAGTATTCCGTTTAGGGCCCCCCTAAAGTGACATGTAAACCCGGCTGAAAGAAATACTTGGTAATCCTGTGCTGAACGAGGCAAATGATTTTTGTGACCTGGGCAGCGTATAAACAAATATCGATGCTGTTTTCTGGTCCAGGAAGTTAAAATGAGTATAAAGATGATATCATTTGGAAATTTAATTTAACCATCATTAAAAATTTATTTATTAGTTTTGAAACGGAAGGAAGTTTTTGTTACAGTGAGAAGATAATCGTCGCGTCCTGTTAGTTCAATTCTTCCTGTTTTCTTTTTTAATTAGCGGTTTCTAAGTATTCATTATGCAAAAAATTTCACTAGAAGAACGCTTTAAGACTGGGCTGAATTTGTTTTACACCGGAGCAGTATTTACGAGAAATGGAAATAACTGAATTTTGTACTGAAGGAACAAACTCATCGTATAAATTTATGGTTCCTTGTAAGGGAGCTCTGTAATGATAAAAAGTTCCAGTCTTTGTTCTCTAATATAAATCTTAAAATTAACGAAAACCTCAAATACTGGTGTTTTAAAAAATATATATATAAAAACACTAAAGAGTTAAAACATTTTTTATGTAAATTATGCTCTCTGTGTATAGGCTAAGAGTCTTTTAGAAATATACATTTCCATGAGCTGTACCGCACCTATAAGAAACCTTTCTCGCGTAAATGACTCAGCACCCAGCGAAGATTTTGTTTTGTTACAGGCCTAGGTTTTGTCATATCATCCGAAAATTATGAGTGCGTGACATCTTACATCAAGAGGATTCGTCCAGGAACTACGAATGATGTCGAATGATAAAGTAAAGACTTCTTAATGCGTCACATTAGAAGGCAGGCAAGTTCCAAGAGAACTTTAGTGGCATCATATGGAGGACAAGAATTGGAATCAGCTGTATTATACTTTGAAGACTGCGTAATGCGTGACATTAAAGAAAGCCAATTGACAGAGGCATGCAGGAACACATCGCAGTTCCAGAATTGTTGGAATACGATAAATCAGTCAAGGAGAAGAAAGTTTACAAACATTTCGCTGACAGTATTAAAATGGATTAATCAAATATCAGGCACAGCGGCCATATGTTTCCGAGTTTGCTACCTGAACATTGTCATGAAGAAAGTGCGTGTTGGCCGAAAATATCGGAGGAAAAGTTCAGCTTTGTTGTACCCATTTGCAGATGATTTCTTACAATGTTTAAGAAGGAGTAGGCCCGTTTGTGTCAATAAAAAGCGTAAAATGATCCAGTTTGTGTATGTTAGTGGTGCACTTGAGTTTTGTAATTTTCGTGAGTTCTGTCGTTCTACGAACAAATGCTTAAACTTTCAGGTGTCCCCTGAATGCAGGTGTCCCCTGACTAGCGGAGTTCCCTGAATGCAGGTGTCCTCTGACTAGAGGTGTCCCCTGAATGCGGGTGTCCCCTGACTAGAGGTGTCCCCTGAATGCAGGTGTCCCCTGACTAGAGGTGTCCCCTGAATGCAGGTGTCCCGTGACTAAAGGTGTCCCCTGAATGCAAGTGTCCCCTGAAGTGTCCCTTGGAGGTTGGGCTGAGTTTGTTAATGATTAACCACCAAAGACAATGTAAAAAAAATCATTACTAATTTATCTCTGCAAAATTATATGTGCAGCACATAGATTTAAGTCAACCTCGTTTGAGATTTAAGTGAGATAGTTCAGTTTGTGAAAATTGCCATCATTGCCTCTTTGTGGTCAGTCATGTGTATGTGACAGTAAGTAGTTCCTGATGCTTAGTTAACGTCTTTGTATTTTAAGGGCTAAATACAGTGAAACCTCTATTAAGAGGACCCCCAAAATAGCGGACACCCTCTATTAAGCGGACACTAAGCCTGGTCCCGAAACGGACGTCTGATATTTCCCTTTATAACGAACCCCTATTCAGCGGACACTAAAATAAGTTTTATTTGGCTAATTTCTATTGGACCTCGGACTGAATTGACAATAGTAGTATTGAATTACGTCCTTGAAATACGTACTGAATTCAGTTAATGTTTTTGCATTTACGAACAAATTAAAGTTAGTAATGAAAGGTAATGAATTTGAACTCTGGATAGCTTCTTTAACAACATGTAACTTTATCACAGTACAAAGTAACCGTTGAATGTTGATCGTTAACAAACATTGCGCAATTTTTACAACCTCCATTAAGAGGACACTTGGGAAGGTCCCGAAGGTGTCCGCGTAATAGAGGTTTGACTGTACTTTGTCATGTACAAGGAGTATGCATAACAACAGTAGCAAACGCTTTTATGCTTAGAGGTGTGACCGCGGTCGAACCTTAAGGTGCAAACGGACGCAACAACGCCCAACATTGCATTTTGCTAAACTTTTAACCGGTTTAAAGCTTTGCGCAACAACTCCCAACAACTCCCAAAAACATGCAACAACATCCAACAGGTGGGTGTGCAAACGAACGCAACATGTAACAATTTTTGGAGTTGTCAGCCGACAATGTTGCGTCCGTTTTCACTGCGCTTAAGGTCGAGCCTTACTGACCGTCACTTAGCAACCTGTTGAGAGGAAACCCAAACTGGGAACGAGGTATTTTTACGGGGGAGTAAAACTTGGCAACGAAAAGTCAGATCAGATAATCCATGAGACTAGATAAACTATATTTGAAGTGGTGAACTGTAATCTTTAGTGTTATTGTTTATTGCCATTGATCATTAATCAGCTTGTCCTAGCGCGAAGTTTCTCTGTCTGTAAATGAGTCCCTGCTTTTCTACAGAGTGCATATCAGTGAAAACTGTCTAGTTTTAATGGCTTTTAACAGCAGGCACTTAAACAGACACACGCTCACTTAGCGTGCAGATATTAGTCATATCATTTAAAGATAAACTGTTCGTGCTTGGCATGGCCTTAAGGAATCCCATGTATTTGAAGAAGTCTTACAATGGCTTAAGTTACGATGGATGGCGCAAGAAGCGCTCTTTGTGTGTTAAGCTGCTGCGCATCGAATGCGGAAGATGAAACCAGTGAAGGTTGGCCCTAGAGCTAACACGAATCTTTGCTGCTAACTTTATCCACTGGCAACTTGCCACTAAAAGACACGAGTCGTTCGCAATGCGTAGAGCTTGCATCTTGTTGTTAATCTCAGTTGGCGCAGTTGTTGTAGCTGGAAAAATTCCTGTTTCCTTATAGGACTTTAGTGGCTTGACTGCGGAGCTCGCACTGCGCAACGCAGAGGTATGTAGTTACAACATAAATACGTGCTTAATATAGGGTTTCTTCAAATCTGGGTTGAAATTTTCTAGAATTCTCTCTTTTGTCATGATTATTGGCAAGCGGACAACAGCGAAGCATTGCTCAGTAGCTGTCGCGAATGTGAATCGTTTCCGACGACGCAGTATCCAGCTACTCAAAAGCTACAATAGGTCCATTTAGTACATAATCTTGGAAGGGGTCGTACATTCCAGTGAACCTCATATGTACGTAAGAAGTGTGAGAAATTAAAGAACCACTTGTAAAGATTGAACCACAGGAAATTCACTGCGCAGTTGTAGCTTTCATGTTATCTGTCAGATTTTTGCTCTGAGGGCCTTTGATGTGACTTAGCTACTGTAGCTGGCTGGCCCTCTTTGAAGGCTGGTCTTGCTGTTATTTCCCAATAAAATTCTCGTCTTGTGTAAATAAAAAGGCGGGCTAACCTGCTGCTTGCCGAGATCTCGTTTGCTTGAAACGTCTCGAAGAGAGCAATAATCAGTAACTGTACTTCAAGTTTATTTCGCAACTGAACGCTGTATTTTACTTGATTTGAAGTCAAATGTGTGTTCTTTTGCTTTACCGTTTTTTGAAAACTGTGATAAAAATGGGGACAAAAACATAACAGCATATTGTAATCCATAAGCTACAGAGCACATAAGCGTTTATGCAATGTTCAAGCGAAGCATGCACGATTATTCTTCACAAAGAGATAGAAAGGGAGAGCATTAACAAATACAAATTGATCTAAGAATGAGATCAGAAAAACAGCAGAAAAGTACAGAAGATCTACAGAAGGTTAATTTACCAAAGAAACCATGTTGTTAACTAACAACAGTTTATTACTGCCTCCAAGTAACCTAGCCTCCAGGCCTCAAATTTGGCACTTTGTGTTTCTGTTTTCTATATTTTGGGTTTTGTGCGTCCGTTTTCGGTTTTGTGATGTTTCTGTTTGGCGTTTGAGTTTTGTGTTTCTGTTTCTTGCTTTATTGTCAGAACTGTCGTTGGTGCATGTTTGTTGTCATTTGCCCATATTCTTCAAACTCGAAATACAAAACATAACACACCATTCAGTATTCAAGAACAACTCTGTATCAAAACACAACACAGCATTTGCGAAACAGGACAGAATATATATGTGAAACACATAAATGTCTTCGAACCGTGCCATACTGACATTAAATTCTCGAAATTTGTGCAGAATGGATGCTATCATATAACTTTTATAACCGGTCATTATTGTCGACACGCTATACACCGTGTAAAAAAACCAACTAAAACAGATCCTAAGGCCTCATGAAGGACCGTTACTTGTCAATAAAATGTGTGTGCGATGCATTAATTCAGTGTTGCAACAGTAACTGTTCCGAAACTGTTCAACTTTAATGAGTTTTATTTGATTGTAAGTCCGGCGGGCCTTTTCACGTCCATCCAAACAAATCATCTCATTTAAAACATGAGAAATTGTAGCGTAAGACAAGACAAGACAAGACAAGACAAGAACTTTACTTTTTACCACACACAGAAAAAAGAGAGGAAAAAAGACCATACTTCTTATGTAAGGTATAAAGCAACCTAGAGAGCAGTTAAAAATTAAAGCTAATCTAGCCAGGAGGCATTGAAGATTAATTTAAAACATTAAAGAGGTTGTTACATGCAGGCACAAGTATAAAATCATTGTAAAGTAAAAAAAAAACAAACACTACAAACAGACAAAGAAAATGAAATAAAAGAAAGACAAGCACAAGCACAGATTCGGATCATTGAAAAAACTGAGGAACTGAAGAAAGAGAGAAATTAATATATGAACGGAAAATAGCTCTTTTCAAGGACTGTTGCGAAATGGCAAGTTGCGAAGACTCTAAACAGATTCTTCAACATTATTCCAAAGAATAGCTCCGACCCTTAAAGCGAATATGAAAATTTACCATTAAATTTGTTCTCATCAAAGGAATGGAAAATGTAGATTTCGAAGACAGCCTGGTTTTATACTTGTGCCTTGAAGATATAGGGTTAAAGAAATTACATTAAAGGCAGATGCTAGTAGATATCAATGAAATTTAAACATAAAGATACAATTTAAATAATAAATAGACCTAACATCACTGAACTTCGTAACATGTAGATCTCTGGACAAGTGTGATCACTATCAATTCTGAGAAAAATAGATAATTCTAACCGTCTTCTTTTGCAACACAATTGAAGGGTGCCAAAGTGGTTACAAGAGTATTACCCCGAATTAATGGTTAGAATAGCTGTTGTGCCTTAGAGTTTTTGAAATTCATACTACTTGGTATGAGGATTTCATCACTTGAAGATTTCCAAATTTAAAAGTAATGTGAATTGTTCACTACGTTAAAAATTTAGTGCATTATCAGTTGGCATATTAGAAAACCTCCATAAAGTACAGAAACGTCGACATAGAAACACCCAAACCGTATACATGCATGTCGGTCAGTTTTGTAGTTTGATGACCCAAAGACACCCTCAGTCGGCGTTAATCAAACTTAGCCGTGGACAAAAC